TTTATAAGACTAGGTAATGTACTGATGCTTGAATTGTCTCATACGGTAGTATAAGTTTTTGTGTATTCCTAAAATAAGCACTAGTTTACGCTTTCCTGTCCAGTGAAGGTAAAATTCGATCATTTTCGCCCTCCCAAACAAAAGTTGCTTCGGCTCCCCATTTGCAGCCCTTTGTCGCTTGCGATTCAAAATTACCTTCAAATTGCTCTCCTACCTTATTAAGAAGTAATTATGGTAGACTTGTARGTGCTTTTCTCTCATTTTGAAGCCTTTAAAACAAGTAAACTTCGTGCCTCATGAACAAAATCAAAAATGCGCGGGATCTGGAACTTGGCAGCCCTTTGAAACCTGGCCTTCTACACGTGGGCGCGCAGTCCCTTGCTCGGTCGTATTTTCGCATTATATATTTTTTCGTTTTCTTCTTCTTTTCGTTTGTTTAGTTCATACATAAACTCCTTTTTTGTAGTCGAATTTTTGTTTTTTATARCTCCCGTTTTGTAATCGATAAGATAAAATACTAATGAACGACATCGTAATTTATTTGACTTTTAATATTCATTAAATTGTACATGTACTGTAATCTTACAAGAATTGATAGTCATGATGTGAATATATATTGCTCCCTGTTTAATACAAACACTATTAGCCTTCCTTGAAGCCAGTCGTCGCTTTCACACTCTAAACATCACCTCTTGAACTTGAAATTTATTTTRTTTGTTTCATATTTTATTAGCATTAAATGCGACAGGGTTTGCAAACGGAACTGGCATGAATCTTTATATTTCAATTGGTGAAAACAAATAATTTAATGATTCAGGAATCAAACACTGCTGCCGTAATCTCTGTTCCATTGTTCATAGGTCTGTAGCGTGTCAGGTGAAACACTTGCTCTTATCATTCGTAGAGAGTTTATGAAATCTTGAAGAGTGATATCGCGTACCTTGGAAAAAAAGGATAACTAATTAAAGCAAAAAAATACGAATGTACTATCAATAAATGAATGAATGAATGGATCGATTGATTCATTCATTGATTGATTCATTCATTGATTGATTCATTGATTGTTTCATTGATTCATTGATTTATTGATCGATTTATTCATTGATTGATTGATTGATTGATTGATTGGTTGGTTGATTCATTGATTCATTGATTCAGTCATTTATTCATTGATAGATTGATTGAATCATTGATTCATTTTTTGGCAGATGGCATGATAAGTTAGCCTCCGTAGCAGACGTTCTTAGCGGTTCAATTCTCTCGAACCGCTAAGAACGTCTGCTACGGAGGCTAATGATAAGTAATGAATGTCATCATATGTCATACTTACTTGATTGACAGACATTTTGGTTAGCTGATCCATTTTCAGGTCTGCAAATTGAATAAAATATCAGATACAGTTATTAAATAGACAATTATATATGAATGGGTTTACAGATTGAACCATTCTGTCATTCTGCAAACACTGACTTATAACAGCTAAAGTTTCAAACCTCTGATTGGCCCAAGAGCTGCATCTTTTGCTAAAGCTGTAAGATCACTACCAGAATATCCCTCKGTCAGCCTAACAGCAGAWAAAATGTTAGAATCCTATTYCAACTGTCCATCATCTCACAGTATTTGAATAAATAATAAATATAGAGTATCTTACCTTGCTAATCTCTCTAATTCTTGAGAACTCAGTGGATTACTGTGCTTACTTAGAAGTTTTGAAAGAAGAATCTGTCTTGTCTTTAAGAAAAGGGAAAAAAACTATCAACTTTACATGTAGGTGTCCAGCAGTCATTCAAAATTGAAACCATTATAATTACAAAATTGGAATTCAGCATCAAAAATATYTATTAAGATCGATTTAATTAATACGTTTTAAGATTGAATGTATATACAAATGGCCTTTTTTTAAATYATACTCATTATTGAGTATTAACTGACAATAATACTCACTTGTTTTTCTGGAAGAGATATGTATACTCGTTTGACTAAACGCCTAAAATAATCAACACCATATGATGCGCTGGTTAGTGGAAATCAAATAAAAAAAGCTGAGCTCCAACATGAATCAGTGCTTGTACTCAATATACCTTAGTGCGGCATCATCTAGTTCTTGAGGACGATTCGTGGCACCCATTACTAGAATACGCTCATCAGGGTCTGCTATCACCTTAGTAAAAAGAAAGTTGCTTCAAACAATGCTTATGAGACAGTATTCAATGTACATAATTTAACTCTGAAGGCTTGCTTTCGCTGGTGAGTATGCAGAGAGAGACAATGTCAAGGACAACATTGAACACTCGTAAAAACAATCAGCAATAGAAAGTATTTGTGAGTACTTACTCCGTCAAATGAAACAAGAAACTCTGTTTTAAGTCTTCGACTGTGCTCTTGTTCTCCTTCTCGTCTTTCTGTTAATAGTGAGTCTACTTCATCTGAAATGAAATACTTTATTAATACATGCTTTGTAATATAAGAAGGAAATATCAATCAAATTCTYCACTTAAGATAAAAAATAATAAGTCTCCCCATTCTGTTTTATGGTACACAGGCAKCCCAAGCCTAAAGCAGACTGCATATAGTGAGGAGAGACAGAAAACATGAGCTATTACCTATAAATATAATACTTGGTTGTAACTCTCTTGCTACGGCAAACAATGCACGTACTAGTTTTTCCCCTTCACCAACCTAAAATGACATTTTTATGACCACTTATGGTGAATTTATTATTTTTATGCTATATTAGAAAAAAATGAGGCAGAGAAACATGACAAGAAGAGCTACCCATTTTGATGTAAGCGTAGCAGCACTAATATTGAAAAATGTTGCTTTTGCYTCACTTGCTACAGCTTTGGCCTACAAAATAAAACAAAAAGGCATGATTATAGAAGATATCACCTTCTCTCAAGATTGGAAATAGTATGAATAATTATCATGTCAATAATTGAATATTTCTATTGCAGTCTAGCTATTTTTATATSAAAAATTATTCCTACCAACATTGTCTTTCCATTGCCTGGTGGACCAAACAACAACAAGCCACGTGCTGGTGCCCTTAGCCCTGTAAATAGCTTGAAATAAAATGTTCAAAGAGGTTAAATTAAGAATTAGAAGTTAAATAATATAGTTAAAGAGTTATAACCTAATAGACATGTACAAATGCAAAGAAATGGGTCGCTATTACTTTCATTTTAATGAACAATATAGAGTTGAAATAAATTATTTACCTCTGGGTTGAGAGATGGTAGAATAACTATCTCTTTGAGCGTTTTCTTTGCTATATCAGCTCCAGCTATGATGAATACAATGAATTGAAAAGAAAATWATTGAAGATCACTATTTCCTAAGAAATTTGTGACTTAGTGATTTTAATAAAACATGACATGTACAATTTGCCATACAACATGTACACACATGTCAAGCTTACCAATATCACTGAAAAACACTGCAGGACCACTACATAAAAATAAAGAAATAAAAAGTAAATGAACAATAGCAATAAAAACAATCAGATGACAGAAAACTATCAAAAAAATACTATTTCTTGCCTTTCAAGTACTTCATCCATAATGACATTTGCAAATTTGGATTCAATKCCTTTAAGATGTGATATTTTCCTTTTTTGTTCTGCTAATCTATTTTGCTTAGCCTGATCTGCAGAAATTTGTGAGCTTCCTCTTGAACTGGATGGAAGATTGGTTCGTGGACCAGTAGTTCTTGGAACAGTTTTTCTTGGTCGACTTGCAGGAACTTTACTAACTGGACCATTGTTTGTTGAAGAATTTGAAGATGATGAAGAAGATGATGGTGGTCCTTTTCTTGTTCTAGATGAAGAACTACCTGATGAGCTTGGAGTGATTTTTGGCTTTGTTTTGKTTTTGTTTTGTGAAGATACTGCTGTCTTTTTAGATTGTGACTCATCTTCCATCATGCCAGCAGAAACCAGTAAACACACTTTAAGATAACAGTAAAATTTATTCAATAGCACATTTTAATATCACAAACAAGCATACAAATTGCTTGAATTTGCAGCTATGAAAAACATTATGCCCAATGGACTTTTCTAGTAGTTGACTAGAGGTCAAAAAATTCTCATGTAAGTGGGATTGTCTGTCTACCTTAAGGTATTAAATTCTCACTTTATGCTGCATATTACATGTACATACATATACTTTAAATGTTAAAAAGATAATCACCTAATTCATCCACCCTGGCCTGAGCATTATCAAGTGAGCCTTCCATCTTCTCTTGAAGTCTTCTTGTTCTATCATATTCCTCTCCTGGATCATAATGAAAATTTATAGAAAACATTTAATCTCAGCTAGCTAYCAGTATATAACCACTTGTGTGCCTGTCAAACATTTCTTGACAGCTTCTCAGCCATCATTATAGTGTCAATCAATATTTATAATTGTTATGAAAGATATTTCTTATTCTTGTTTTGTATTGAGGTTTACAATAATGAAATGTTTTCACCTWTTCCTGTGCACCCAATATCYAATCCAGCCTCTAATTCCTTTATTCCTTTCTGATAAAAGTCAACAGCTCTTTTCTTGCTTTCTAAATTACCTAAAGATASATGTATAAAGTGCCTGTGAGAAGGGTTATCTCTMTTAGCTYGATATTACACAGRCAGCCCAATATTGGTTTTCCAGATCTTACTGGCTTGCATATACCATGTAACAGCAGTTGACAAAATTTTCACATGCAGTGCAGATGTTACACAAAGCCTGTCAAAAACACTCTGTAAGCTCCAAGTGTGGAGAGATGAGATCTGGATCTTTGGTTTTTGATCAGATAATAGCTTGATCAAAAGACACTGGCGCCCAGATTCCTTATAAAATGCATGCATGAATAACGTCACATTTTTCACTTTTCAATCTGTWCTAGTTTGCTTTATGATATATACAACATTTTAATGAAAATGCAGCCTCATCATTTTGATTGACAAGTCTCAATTTCAATCACAAATGTCATCTTTTACCTTCTCCTTCATCAATCGCTAAAGCTTTAGTAATATATTCATAAGCATTCTTGTTGTGTTGTCTTATGTCCCTTACGCTTGGTGGAGTATTTCTGCGATCACCRTCAACTGAATTTGAAGAATGAGGAGTTTTTGCAGCCATCCTTGGTTGACGAAGTGGTCGAGTGGCTAATGTCTGATTAGACCCAAACAACTTGGACCACAATAAAATAACAAATACAAAATGCAATCCACTACATAAACGATACCAACATCTTGCAATTGAGCTGCCTATAAYACTAAAACTTTTGCAAAATTCATATTCAGTCATTTGTTCAAAATAGCTGATAATGTCATATTTGAATCTGCTGRTGGAGCGACTGCGAATAAA